GTATGATGCTTTGCAGTGTCTTGTTGGGGGGGGGGGGGGCCATGTGATCTCCTTTTGCAACTTTCTGACAAGCAGAGTTAACAATCGGGTTACTAATTTAGCACCTGCAGCACTTCACTTAACGAATGTGGCAAGTAAAATCGCAAAGCGGGGGCAAAACTCACTTAACAAATTTCTCGCTTAAAATGCTGGGCTCATTTGTGGTCGTAAGTCGAGGGCTGTTTTGTTTTTTGTTTTGTTATTTCTTATTATTTGATCTTTTGGTATTTGTTATTATTTGACCTTTTGGTAAAGGTGATTCAGCAGAAATGAAATACCGTATTTTTCCCGTCTATAAGACGCCCCCATGTATTAAACATCCCTATGTATCATGTAGTTTCTCGTAGTAAGCACACTACAAGCCAATGTTGTGCAGAAACCATCTTTTGTTAGAGTGAATTAATACAACAAGAATAGGAAATGCATCACAGGAACGACAGAGGAATGGTAGAGCTGCATATAAGAAAGAGGCTCATCCAGCATGTGTGGCCTTCTCCTCTCCACCTCCTGTGTATAAGACACCCCTCCATTTTCAAGTAAACATTTAAAAAAAAAAGTAGCATCTTATACACAGAAAAATACAGTAACCAACCAGGATTACAGCCATAATTTATTCCCAGATTTGCACTTTTCATTTACCTGGCAAACAGTGTCTCTCTTACTTGTCCCTGAACCTCTTCTTGACAAGCTCGAATCAACCGACTGGACATCAGAAACATCAGCATCTGCTGTAGCCAATGGGCTGTCTGACTGCTTTCCAAAACTACCCTAAAATAAAGCAGGCGCAGTTGTTTTCATATTTTTTTAAAGAAGAGAGCTCTATAAATAAGGATCAGTGTAAATCCAGTTCATTAAAAGGAAAACCAAAGCAAACAGCTAACTATTCCCATAAATTCTTTGAGCTTTGACTTTAGGTCAATTAAAATGCCACCCTTGGTGTAATCTCATCTACCTAAGGGAGGAAATTTGCAGAAGGATCAATATATTGGCCAGATGAGAAAACTTAATTCTGTTTAAACAAACACAACTCTTTGCAAAATGCAATGCTCATGTGATCCCCCCATTCACCCCCCCCCCTTGTGCATTCCTGTGTGACCCTGTGTGTGCCTCTCCCTCATGCATGCAACCTCCCATGTATCCCCCCCCCCCCAATTTTCGGATTCCAGGTTGGTGCAAGAGGTTTTCCAGGCCCAATCCTGAAAATAAAATAGTCGTAAGATTTCTCTGATTTGAATCTTTCTTGACTATTTCCCATCACGTAGAAATCAAAAATTGACATGTAGAACAGAATTTTAAACAATGCAGAGAAAAGCAATGTTTCAGCCCTAACCCAACCGCCATCATCATCAAGCTAGTGCTAACAGTAAACAGGTAAACTGTTGTGCTTAGTGCTCTGGGCTAACTCTTTTCCATTTTGTTTGTTTAAAAGCTGTAATTTTCATGTTTGTGCCCAGCCTTGACTGCAGCAGCGTTTTATGTAATTCCACTTTTTTTCGATATTTTTCTTTTCAATGCAGAGAAAAAACTACCAAACAATAACACTCAAGAATACAGAATTCAATAGATTTTAAGGAAAGAGCAAATGTAACCTAACTGCACTTAAGTCAACGTTGTTTTACACTTGCCTGATGTCAGAAATCTGTTTGTTGTCAAACTGGGATGTTTTTGTACATCGTTTACAATTGTGTTTGCAAATGAAGCATATTCAAAGAAGATTCGCAGGCACAAACAGTTCACGCTCAAGGTTTTTTTTAAAAAAAAACAACCATAAAGCAATCTGTGAAACGGATTTATCAAAATACTTGTCAGCTTCAAAGCTGGGGCCGAATAAATACCTGTAAATCATTAAGTCCTCTTGAATCAGAATCGGAGGTATCTCTGTAAGCGGAGTTAGCCAATTCTACATCTGTGGAGGCTCGGCTTCTTTTCTTCAGAGGTTTACAAGAATCGGAAATCTCACTGGCACCTTAACACAACACACTGGGATTAATTCTAAAAGACCTCTCAGATATGGATGCTACTGAAAGAGAAAGTAAGAACACCACCACCACCAAGAAAACTAGCCAAATTGCACACTTCATTTAAAAGCTTTTCAAATTTACAACTCTTCTTCTTTTTTTATTTTTTTGTAATAGGAAACTAATCCAGGATTTTAAAAGCAGGGCTTTTCCAATGCAACAATGCTATTAACTGTTGGATAGGGAATACACAGCAGATCTTTTGTTCATTTATACCTTATCTCCCATATTATAATCCTCCCGAGGCAGCTCACAATATAAGGACTAAAAGCTATCACACAATGAAGAACACATTGGGATGAGAACTGTTTCAAAAACAGAGTGGAAAGTCAAAATCGGAACAATATTTGCTTAATGATAAAGTCGTTTTTCTAGTAATTTTTTTTTCAAAGGCTGAAGAGTCAGACGTACCCTGATTTGTGGCTGGTTTGGGTATTTTATTTTGACAACACTTAAGGCGCCTTACCCCTTTCCTGTACATAAAATGCAATCTCAGAAGCAATTAGCACTGAATATAGATGATCAAACTAACATGAAATCAAACATCTTTCTATACCTCGATCTGAATGGTATTCATTACATTAGAATAGAATAACAGAGTTGGAAGGGACCTTGGAGGTCTTCTAGTCCAAACCCCTGCCTAGGCAGGAAACCCTACACCACTTCAGACAAATGGTTATCCAACATCTTCTTAAAAACCTCTAGTGTTGGAGCATTCACAACTTCTGGACACAAATCGTTCCACTGATTAATTGTTCTAACTATTGGGAAATTTCTCCTTAGTTCTAAGTTGCTTCTCTCCTTGATTAGTTTCCACTCATTGCTTCTTGTTCTGCCCTCAGGTGCTTTGGAGAATAGTTTGACTCCCTCTTCTTTGTGTATTCTGTACATCTCCCCTAGTCCTTGTTTTCATTAGACCACATACCAGTTCCTGCAATCATTCTTCATATGTTTTAGCCTACTCTAATCATCTTTGTTGCTCTTCTCTTCTTTCCAGAGTCTCAACATCTTTTTTACATCGTGATCAAAACTGCATGCAGTATTCTAAGTGTGGCCTTCCCAAGGCATTATAAAGTGGTATTAACACTTCACGTGATCTTGATTCTCTCCCTCTGTTTACGCAGCCTAGAACTGTGTTGGCTTTTTTTTGGTACTGCTGGCTCATATTTAAATGGTTGTCCACTAGAACTCCAAGATCCCTCTCACAGTTACCAATATGGAGCAAGGTACCACATATACTGCACCTGTGCATTTTGTTTTTAAGGAGCCTTATGCCTTCCCGTATGTGAAATGCAATCTCAGAGGAAATTAGCACTGAATATTCATGATCAAACTAACATGAAATCAAACATCCCTCTATACCTAGATCTGAATGGTATTCATTACATTACAATGCCTTGGAGGAAGCAGAAATGTTTGGTGTCAGTGATGGCAGAAATTTGGAGGAAGGAGTCTGAAGAAATGAACTCTGATATACAACAAAACCACTTGTTCCACACCCAAGACAAGAACTCACACCAGTAATTGTTCTTGTTGGGAGATTTATGAAAGGGTGTTTGTGCTTTCATTTTGCGAATGTTCAAACCTGCTTTCCCAGAGATTCTGTTTCATTGCCTTTTGACACGACCTGGTTACGGAGGGGTTAGCGTGATCGTAAACTACATTTATTCGGCAACATACAAAGTATGTTAATTCATAAGTCTGTCAAAAAGCTTTAGAAAAGACAAGACAAACCACAAGAAATAAAAGTCACACTAACCTTTTTGTAATCCAGTCTTCACTGCTGCCTGTGGGGCTGTTTCTACCTGTTTAGACAGGAAAATGAGTGGTTAGTAGAGACATTTCTTGTTCCCTAGTACAAAGGAGGAAATGTAAATTCAATGCAAGCAGTTAGTATATAAGGAATCACATTTAAGGGTTTTCCCCCCTCCAGAAATAAAAAATGAATATTTCTTCTTGTGGATGTAATTAATACTGCCTTCCCTAAACAACATGAAACAGGTCTCTGTTTGCTTCAAAATCATTCAATATGTGTGTGAAGTGTCAGGAAGGCTTTTATTTTTTGTCCGGGAACCAACTAAGGGGTGAGGGGGTAGGGCAAGCTACCAAGCCTTGAGCTAGGGGAAAGGGGGAAAAATAAATAAATAATGATAGCTAGCGTGTTTTCCCCAAAATAAGATAGGGTCTTATTTTCTTTTGACCCCCTCCCCCGAAATAAGCACTTGGCCTTATTTTCGGGGAGGCCTTATTATTTTTGAGGTGCAGGAGGCGGCGAGCGTGGTCACCTCATGGCTGCTGCTGTGTTGCAATATTTTTAGGGGGAGTGCTTATTTTCAGGGGAGGGCTTATTTTTTAGCGCATGCGCTTTTCAAAAGCCCTGATTGGCTTATTATCCGGAGAGGTCTTATTTTAAGGGAAACAAGGTATGAAAAGAGAGAAAAGCAAGACCCACAAGTTCCAAATGAGGTTTTAACTTACGGCCCCATTTTGAAGCCAGGGTTTCTGAGGATAGAAAGGGGGGGGGGCAGCCATGCAAATGCACTACAGGTCTCTATACAGCTGAAAGCAACGTTGACACAGTGCATGGAGATAGGCAGGTGGGTGAACTTGTGAAATCCCTTGCAGGTTTTTTGCATTTCTGTGCCTCGGATCCTATATAAGAGGTTGGTTTTTGGCCAGGAAATACCCAGTTTTGTGAATTTGGTAGTGGCAAGCAGCTCCTCGGCTAAAAGGTCTCGCTTTTATTTTAAAGGCTAAAAATCATTAATTTGAAAATAAAAAGAAAATAAAAAGAAAATAAAAGTTCTCCATAAGGTGATTTACAATAGGCAGGTTAAGAAACGCATCTCGAAGTATTTATTAAGGATTGTCCTATAATGTTTGAAAAATATTTTATTTTGTTGTACAATTGATAAAAACATACAATAGAAGGATTTGTATAAGATACAATTGAATAATACAAATATAAAATCTAGACAATCACTTGTATTTTGCTATCACTCAATTGCAACAGAATTAACATTTGTCTTTCTCAGTTGAAATTAATATTCCAGTTGTCATCTTAAAATTTGAAAGGACGCAGAATTAATTTGGAAAGTCGCTGATATGAACAAATATGGTTGCTGATTCCTAAAATATCAGTATGCCTTTCTGAACATATTACATATTCAAGCTTATGCAATACAGTGCTTCTCTGATAGTTAAGCTTTCCTATATGTTTTTCCTGAAAACACCAGTACAATATACTATGTCGATTTAATTAGTTCCATAGTATAAGGCAAGCGAAGATTATTTAGGGAATGAGGGTTTATTTTTTTATTTTTTTAAAAAAACCTGTGTTGAAATTTTCTTTCTTTAAAGTCACCTATTTTAGAAATCCAACCTAGGAAAAGTATTTGCTGGGACAGCAAAGCCAAAGTTAAAATAATAAACTGGTATTTTAAACAGAAGGTGTTTAACTTCATAGCGAGCAAAAAATCATAAGACTAAAATACCATATATAACATTTATTAGAAGTTGCCGTCTTGGAACTTTTTCAAATGATTTGGGCTGTTAGGGAAAGTGTGTTATGCTTGATATGCCAAAATAAATTTCCTTTGAATTAAAAAAATAATGGAGCATACCCAAATGGTCGAGAAAACCCAAAATGCAATAAACCTTCTTGAAACATGCAGAATCCACAGACAGCATGAGGGGCCCAATGAAGCAACTTGCACATCACTTGCAACTGGCTATTTCCAAAAGCAATATATACCTTTGAGGCTCATCCCCCCCAAAGAAATACCCTGTGTGCAGGTTGGTTCTTCTTACAAGAANCCCCCCATTCCCAGGAGCACTCTAGAAGCCTCCTAAAGGCTATTCATGCCATTTTTTTGGAAAAAAGGGCTGTTTTGGGGAGGTCTGCAGAGTGCAAAAACTTTTTTTTTATTTGCCTCTTCAAAATCTTGGTGCAAAAAATACGATAGTCTGGTAATGAAACGTTCAGAAACTAAATGGAAACAAGCTTGGAAAGCAAACCATTGCCAAAAACAAACTACATTTTCTACCTAGATTGCCGCGATTTCTGGACGTTCCTTTCCCGGCTCTTAGTCAAAAATTCCACCGCAAAGGTAAGCGAAACACACAGAAATTATTTGGAGCTTTCATGACGATGCCTTTGCAGCAGGAAGTATGACCCTGCTTTTTTTCTTACCTTTGCTTGCTTTATGAATATCCTTGTCCATAGAGCAGGCAGTGCAGCAATGCTGAGGGCAACGGAATCCTCGGGATTCAAAAACAGCGGTAGTAAACTTGCGGACACAGGCCTCGTGGTAGAATTTGCCACATGCGTTGACCGAGCAGCGCTTCACGTCTTTGCCGGGAAGTTTGCAGGAAAAGCAGATATGCTGCCCTTTGAAGAGGAGAAACATAAAAGGTTTAGCTGGAACGCAGAGACATTCTTTCAGGCCGTTGCAAAATATTACAGTATTTTGTGATTAGAATGCAATACTTTAGGCTACTTCTGCTGACTGCTGGCTGTCGGCAGTTCGATTCCCACTGACTCAGGCTTCCATCCTTCTGAGGTCGGTAAAATGAGGACTCGGATTGTTGGGGGCAAGAGGCTGACACTGTAAAGCGTTTAGAGCTATTGCTATCGATATCTCTCTCTAAGTCTATCTCTCTGTCTTTCACTGTTTCTGTCTGTCTGTTTATCATCTATGTATTAATGTCTGTCCGTCAGTCAGTCCATCTATTCATCCATCTATCAGAATGCAGCGTTACAGGCTAATTTAGCTCACTACTAGGAGTTTGATTTTGACCAGCTCAAGGTTGACTCAGCCTTCCATTCTTCCAAGGTCAGTAAAATGAGGACGCAGATTGTTGGGGGCAAGAGGCTGACTCTGTAAACCGTTTAGAGCTATTGCTATCAATATCTTATCTATATGTCTACCTCTCTGTCTTTCACTGTTTCTGTCTGTCTGTCTATCATCTATATATTAATGTCCGTCTGTCCATCCATCCACCCACCCACCCACCCATTCATCCATGCAGTATTGCAGGCTAATTTAATTCATTGCTAGGAGTTCGATTCTAATCATCTCAAGGTTGACTCAGCCTTCCATCCTTCCAAGGCCCATAAAATGTGGACCCATATTGTTGGGGGACAATATTCTGACTCTGTAAACTGCTTAGAGAGGGCTGTAAAGCACTGCAAAGCAGTATATAAGTGCTATGGCTACGATGGGGCAGGGACTTAGCAACAAACCTTCCCTGGCGAGCAGAAGTCAACACATAACACGGCTGTTGTGCGAACTCCATTGGTTACTAGTTTGCTTCTGGTATCCAATTCAAGATACATTGTCCAATTCAAGATGGTATTGTCTTTAAATCCCTATATGGCATGGGTCCAAGGCTGCCTCAGGTAGAGAGCATCGCAAGGAGCCAAACCATGAGATGCTTAGTGATTGTCTAAAGGGCCTCCTGAAATATACAATTGGGTATCAACAACATACTGCTTAAATCTATGGAGAACCTCAGTCATCCAGGTCATGGTTGTCCCAAAGGTGCTTTTTTTGAGAGGCAACAGGACTTTCTGGTTTTTCTTTGAAGACATTTCCTTTTTCATCCAAGAACCTTCTTCAGTTCTGATGGGATGGTGGGAATCCTTCCTTCCCCACCATCCAATCACAGCTGAAGAAGCTTCTTGAAAAAGCACCTTTGGGACATACTGCTTGAAGGTTAAAACAAATCACACTTCCAATATTCTGCAATTTAATCTTTCTTTTCTATCTATCTAAAAAGAATATGAAAATCCAGCTTTCCTCTGGATGGAATGACAGGGGTTGTGGATGACAGGGGTTGGATGCTGAACTTAGAACTGTGACAGTATCTCATGGATGATATTTTCAGACGTGGGTGACAGTGAGAGGACGCAACAGTATATTCCTCTCAGCTTTCCAGAGGCTAAAAAAACCTAGGCTATTATGCCATTTTCTTTAGCTATCCAATGTGAAGGAAAACAAAGAGGAATCAACAGGAAAAATAGGTATCAAGTCAGTGCTAAAACACAAACGACTTCAACTGCCATGCTGCAGAATGTGGGTTAGGCTTGAAATCTTAAATTGCAATCCATTTTGAAAGAGAAAGCATGAAATAATTCGTTGAGCAGGCATTCAAAAGCCCCGAACTCATCCTTGTTTAGTAGCGCTCAGAGCTTTTGGCGTTCTAGCCACTTTCTCGAGGGAAAAAAAAAGAAAGAATGAGCGCATTTACCATTTTTGCACTCCAGGCAGATAAATTTCCCATCCGGCTGTGAGCTCAATCCTAGGCATTCTGTATGGAATACCCTGTAGCAGTCACCTTCGCAGGAGACTAGAGACTCCCCGGTGCTTTCACAAATCTTAAAAAGAAAAAAAAGGAGAGAAAAAAGAAAAAGAAAATCCAAATAAAGTCATCGAGTTTCTAATTCAATCGGGTCGAAAAGCTAAATGCTCTCATGCTGGATTACCATACCATTTTCAAGGTTCCTCTACTATAGAAATACTTTTCAGAGACACGAACATCACACAGTATAATAAAGGACAAGATACACTGAAGGAAAGACATCAGCTGTGGAACAAAAGCTGGGCTAGCTTCCTCATTGTGACCCACGGATGTTGGTATGTGCTGTATTTTTCTCACTATAAGATGCAGGTTGCCCGCCCCCCTTCAAAAGTGGATGGAAATATGTGTCTTACAGAATGAATATTGCAGCGGGGATGGGGGGGGGAATGTAGCACTGCCGTTTGCCGCCGCCACTGGGGAATGCTGGAGCCTTCACTGCTAAGCAGCTGATTGGCGGTTGGATCGGCCTCCTGGCCCACCACTGTTTGCTGCCACCATTGGCCAATAGGCGGCAACTGGTGATCTCCGCCATCTAGAACAGCTGATCGGCGATACTCCAGGAGGNCTTTCAGGGGGTTGTTTATCAAATATGAACCTTATCTCATTTGGCGAGCTGCCAAATAACTAGTTCCAAACGCAGGGCAAGGCAAAACTTGGCACAGAGTCTCTCTTAGTTAAAGAGTTTATTTCTCTTGACACCATCAAATGAACTTATTGTTTCCTGCAAAAGCCCCCTCCCCATTCGCTCCTCTTTTATTTCCTATGGGAGGGGCCAATCACCTCCAAGGTGTGGCTTTACTCCCAAGTCGACCCTGCTTTGTCTTGTCTTCTGGCAGCTCTGGCGCATGCGCACACTGGGAAGAGGCTCCAGCTGCTCTTCTGGCTTGCTGCTCTCTAACTCCCACTTTGCCTCTGATGCAGAGCCCTCATCTGAGCTTTCCTTAGACCCCAAGACTGGCCCATGTTCCTCCCCAACCTCCTCACTGTCCGACTATGCTGCCAGCTCCCCTGGCCATTGGCAGGCCACAATAAGAAACTCCAGTTGCCTCTTGAAAAAAAAAAAAAGCACCTTTGGGACAATCATGACCTGGATGGTGGAGAATCTCTACAGAAACCCAGAATTATGTTCCTTCCTGCTTGCTATCAGCGTGGCCTTCAAGCAAAGACCATGCTTAGAACCAACCCCTCCCCCACCTTTCCAGAGAGGCTTTTCTAATCCATCCTACTTTCTTGGAAAGAGAAAAAAGGCAACAAAAACAAAACCACGAGTGTTGGCCTCAATATACTCCAGCGACTATACTAAGATGAGAATAAAGCAGAGCGCAATCCAGAGGACTCACTGAGACATTTAAAAAATAATAAATCACACAGCTTGTAACAAAAAACAAATATTGCATTCGTGAGAAGCTCTATTTTCTCAGGTCTCCAAAAGTATGGATGATGCTGTCAGTGGAAAATTTAAATGACCAGCAGAGTTTGGATCTCAAGGAGAGCCCCCCACCAAAAAAAAAAGGGGGCGGAAAGATTGGGAAAAATATATAGAGAGGGTAGGTGGGGTTTAAATAAAAAAGGCATCAATATAAAAAGTGACAACAGGTATGACTACGATATTTTTTTTTAACTCTCTACATGGAGGAAGCCAACCTGCTCCTTTTTGATCTTCTTCTTTGGCACAACCTCAGTGGATTTCTCAGACTCTGAGCGAGTTCGTATTGATCTCCTCTGTTGCTTCTTTTCTACAGAACCTGAGGGAAGAGAATGGTTTCCATTACAGGAGTCTCTCTTTCTCTCTCTGTCTCTTTCCTCAATGAGAGATGGCGTTCAATAGCAAAGTCCTGATTTCTCTATATTCTTCTTTGAGGGCATAGACTTTAATCTGCCAGCTGACGTTTTGGCTGCAGGCAATACATCTCAGTGCTTCAGGCAGAGTCCTGAGTTCGGGAAAAGACCAGCTTTAATATGAAGATAAAGGGGAGTTCTAGAATTCAAATTATTAGGGAAGGGGGGAAGGCTAACTTTCCAAACCAACTATACCATCAAGGATGTGTTAATATGTTTCTTAATTTCATCTGACAAACTAACTGCCTGTCCAGGAGGCATACCTTTAGGTAATCTCAACAGCCAGTTCACTCTCTAAGGGTTCTTACACACTTCTTACCATCTTAACTTATATTAAAAACTTTGCGGGAAATAAGAGGGCATGCTATGTGCTATAATCGTGGACAATGCTTCGTTTCCAGCATCAGGAAAATCAAGTTCAAACTGTCAGAATATTCATGAACTGGAACAGGGCATAGTAACAAGGTCAGTCAATGAATAGGCATAGCAAGTAAGTCAGCCCCTGAAGGCTGTTTGGAAACTGAAAACAGACTGGAGTCTGGGTGTGGCTATAGCTCTGAGTTTGTGCTAAGAAACGAAAGTAGTCTGGACTTGTCAGCTGACCTGAACTGAAACTCTGCTTGTACTTGCTACCATGTTGGAAGAATCTGCTGTTGGTATTGTAAATTTACTTCATGTGTTATTATGTATATAAAGAAGTTAATGAATTCTGCTGCATCAGTTATCTGTGTGTGTGCTTTCTGGTTTTGATTTTTGCAACAAACTCTGACACAAATGTATGCCTCTAATGTACTTCAGGCCAAATGTCTACTTCACACAACACAGGGTGCAGATGTCATTGTGAAAATGAGAATCCTTTAGGGCAGGGGTCCCCAACCTCCGGTCCGTGGACTGGCACCACGGGTCATGGCATGCCAGAAACTGGACCGCACAAACAGTGAAGGCCCATCTGTGGGATGTAGGCAGCATGTGAAACCATGCCCCCTCTGGTTAATGGAAAAACTTCCCTCCGTGGCACCGGTCCCTGGTGCTCAAAGGGTTGGGGGCCGCTGCTTAAAAGGATTCTGATCAATTGGAGAATTTTCTGATCTGCAAACCTATTCCTCAGATAGTGGTCCAGTCCATATATTATGAAGGTGGGGGAGACTGGATCTAGGAAGAAAGGTGGAGGGTGCTACAATGCAGCCACAATTCTTTCTTCTAAAAGAATATGCCTCCTACACAACATTAAATGCGTGGACCACAGGATGGTGACAAGTCGTGAAAAACTATACCTTGCAAATTGATTAATTATTTCATTCCAAACACAATAGAATGTTGTCAACACTCCTAACCCATTCTTGGTACATCAAAGGTTTCTTCCTCCCACCCTCCAAAAATCAGTGTCACAAAAGAGACGCCCAGTTAATTGCCTCTCTCTCTCTCTCCCCCCCTTGCATTACTCAACGATGAACAACTAGAAGTGTCTTCAGAATGCAGCCGAGTTCCCTTGAACAACTCCCGTTCATCTAAGAAAATGCTAGTCTGGGTAGGCTGCCGATAAATAACCTTCAGATGAGTCTTTCTCATCTAAAATTTGAGATAAAGACTAGATCCATTCACTTCAAAGGAAAGAGAGAGAGAGGGAAGATGAAACAGATGGCCACATGGGACTTCAAGGGAGTTCTTCCCTTGGTGAGCCCACCTTGGCTTCTTCCATTAGTCCACCTGTTATTTCAGGCAATGTCTGTCTCCTCTGGATGGATGCAGAGATGGGCTGCTAGGGCTTTGTAGGGGTTTCGGGAGAACCTCTAGCTAAGATTTTGTGCATTTCGGAGAACCCCAAAATCCCATTCCTGGCTGGCCCTGTCCACCCCTTCCCTCCCAGGAGTCCCCATGCAACCCATTTTGGATGCAGGTAAATGCAGGGCATGCGCAGAGGCTCGGGGAGGGCGGAAATGGGCCCATTTCCAGCCTCCAGAGCCTGGGGGGGGGGTGTTTTCACCCTCCCGGAGGCTCAAAAAAAACCTCCGGAACTCTGGGAGGGAAAAATGACCATCCCCCACCGTGATGCAGGAGGCCATCTAGGCCATGCCCATCATTGCCATGCCCATCCAGCAACAGGACAGAGATCCCCTTACTAAACTTTTTGAAGCCCACCCCTGGCATGGATGGCTGGATATGCAGCAGCTTTCAGAAACACTGCTGGTACAGATAGTCCTCGACTTACAGCCACAATTGAGTCCAAAATTCCACTGCTAAGTGAGACATTTATTAAGGGAGTTTTGCCTCACTTTACGACCTTTGTTGCTGCAGTTGTTAACTGAATCGCCGCAGTTCTTAAGTTAGTACCCCAACTGCTAAGTGAATCTTCCTTTCCTCATTGACTTTACTTGTCAGAAGGTCATAAAAGGGGGAACGTGTGAGCCCGGACACTGCAACCATCATAAATATGAGCCGGTTGCGAAGCGCCAGAATTTTGATCATGTGACCATGGAGATGCTGTAATGGTCGCAAGTGTGTGAGGGGGGAAAGGACATACTGTATTTTTCAGAGTATAAGACACACCTTTTCTCCTCAAAAAATAGGGTGAAAATCTGTGTGCATCTTATACACTGAATACAGCAGTTTTTGCCTTCTGAAACCCCGCTCCCTTCGCCAAAATGGCCATGCATAGCTTTTAGGAGGCTTTCAGAGAGCTTCTGGAGGCTGGGGAGGGCTGTTTTTTGCTCAGTTCCCCGCCCCCAGGAGCACTCTATAAGCTTCCTAAAGGCTATCCATGTCCTTTTGTTCATTTTGCCCCCCACCCTCCCGGGAGCACTCTACAAGCCTCCTAATTCATGCCCTGTTTTTGGAAGAAAAAAAAAAGGCCTGTTTTNTCAGGAATTCTGGGAGTTGAAGTCGTAAAAAGAGCCATCGTTCCTGACCTCTGTCCTAGATTTTGTTGTCGTCCGCCAGCGAAGCTGGCAGCAGATTCAAATAGTGAGGAAGTTGGGGAGGAAGATGGGCCAGTCCTGGAGTCTGGTGAAGGCTCTGATGAGGGCTCTGTGTCGGAGGCAGAGAGGGGACAGAGCCGTCTGACAGTTATCAGCTGCCTTCAGAGACGGACATCAGTGAGGCAGACGAACAGCTGGAGCCTGTTCCCTGTGTGCATGCACAGAGTTGCCAGATGAAGGAGACAGTTAAAGAACAGGGGTCAACTTGGGAGTAAGGCCACAGGTGGATGGTGAATGGCCCTTCCCATAGGGAATAAAAGAGGAGCGAAAGGGGAGGGGAGTTTGCAGGAGGCAATTAGTTCATTCCTGCATTCTTACCAAGTATTGCGGAGTCTGAAAGATATCGGCCTGGCCACTCTCCAAGCCTGATAAAGGTCGGTAATTGTGAGCTATCTTGAAAAACTGGGAGAGGAAAGACTTTGCTGGAAAGGAATTCACTGTAAATTAAATAAAAGGGGTTTATCGAGACGAGGACTTGGTTTTGTGCTGCTGGGGGAAGCTTAGGTCAGAATAGTCTTACAGACATGATCTAATGATCATCCAAAGTGACAATGACGCTAAAAAAAAGTGACTCACAACATTTGCACTTACAAATGTCACCGCATCTCCACGGTCATATGATCAAAATTTAGGCACTCGGCAACTGGCACTGCAACAGTGGCCGTGTCCTGGATCTTAGGATCACTATTTGCAACCTTCTGAGTTGACTTCTAACAAGCGAAGTGAACAGGGGCAGTCGGATTCGTTGTAACGATTGATTCAATCAACTGCAGAGATTCTCTTAACAACTATTACAAAAAAGTCATAAACTCCGGCGCAGGTCACTTAACAATCATCTTGCTTAGCAACAGGGATAGTCACCCAAATTGTGGTCACAACTCAAGGACTACCTGTATTGTCATGAGCTGATATATGATCTAGGTGTTTCGTGCCAATAATTCCTCTTTTAATATTTTTAATGTTTTAAGTAAGGAACTTATACACTATTCAAAAAAGGCCTTTTACTGATCTCTTTTTATTTAATGGTAACGATGGATGAAGAGATATCTTCCTCACAAGCTGCCACAACTTTGCTAACCGGAAGTGAGTTTTGTTTCTTTGCACTATCTGGTTTTCATAGAAGCTTTAGAAGTGAGCATATATGAAGGGAAGAAACTTCACAGTTCAGGTTCCTTGCTAGAAACAAAACCTTGGTAAGTTACATCTCCATTTTGTTTGTGAAATCATAAAGGCCAAACCCAGGACTTCTTTCCTGTTAATAAATTATGTGAGTTCACTAAAAGGTTTATAAGGCCTTATAATCCAGTTGCAACACTGGTTTGCAAGAGGCTTAGTTGAAATATAGCAAGGTAGTAGAGAATACTGACATATTGCCGTTGGCCGGTTTTGTTCTAACAGTGATTTTTATGGACAAATCTCTATTTTAATATAATTATTTTGATGCATCAAGTGTCATCTGAATTTTAGTTCAAGTATATAATTGATTTTGAAGCTCATTGATTCCTCTATAGCAGTGGTTTCCAAACTTGGCAACTTTAAGAGCTGGCTGGAGAATTCTGGGAGTTGAAGTCCACAAGTCTTAAACTTGCCAAGTTTGGGAACCACTGCTCTATAGTTCCGACCACTGGCTGGGCCTGCCCATCCGCCCCAGCGCTATCCAGTTCTATATACCTCAATCTCTGGCTCGCTTGACCCATCCACACACCCAGCTGATTTCCGCACCTCGCCTGCTCTATTCACCGTGGCTGCCCAAGAAGGTGTGCTGGAAGTTGCACGCAGGAAATGTTTTTGCAGCCTTGCGCAAGCACAGAAGGTGCACTTGCTCACATTTTCGGTTCTGCAACCGTTTGTTAAATTATATGAAGCCCACCTCTGCTTACATCTCAAAAACAAGAATTTGGTGCATTAAAAGGGTTCAAGATTAGCAAACAGAACACAAAGATATATATATTTAATATCTGACATGTGACAAAGTCAATAAATATTGGAGTAAGTTTCATATCTTAATACAGAAGATTCTCGAAGTAAATCTAAAGATAAAAGCAGAAACTTTTCTTTTGGGTTTAATGGAAAAAGACTTTTTTGGGAACTTTGATATTATACATGTTGACGGCAGCAAGATTATTTTATGCACAAAAATGGAAGGATGCTTTGATTCCCATAATGGACAAGTGGTAGCAAAAACTGATGGAGTTGGCAGAGATAGCTAAATTAACTGTTTTGATTAAAGAGAAAATACAACTATTTTTGTTTCTACTTGGAAACCACTTCTGGACTTTGTGCTCGAGGTGGAGGAAAAATGAAACTTTGATTTGGGGTTTTACTGATTAGATAGGTTTGTTGTTATAAAAATGGCTAGTTTATACTATTACCGGTATGTAAAAGTTAAAAAGTTGAGATTTGAAGTTAATATCTTATTCTACTGCACCAAAGGGAGTCGGAAGTCAATAACTTTTTTTTCTTTTCCCCTTTTTCTATACACCTTTCCCTTCCCTATCTTTCCTACTATTTTCTTTTGTATTTTTGTATATTATATAATATTAATGTATAAACCACATAACACACACACACACACACACCATCTATCAGTCTTAGAATTTTCTTTTAACACTAACATTCAACTGAAATTACTTTTCAAATGGAGTGAAAATTTAATTTGGGAGATGGCATGGGACTATTCAGTCATACAGCATTACTTGCAAAGACTGTTTTTTAATAACTTGCTTAACTCCATTTAAAAAAAAATGTTGGGTGGCCACCAACATTACGCCACATTTCCTCATAGTTTAACCGCACCTTCTAAGACCGTTTATAGTGTATTCTACCGTGGTATGAGTCAATCGTTCAGCTAGTCTACTGAAATCTGGACCAATGAAGAGTGGTTTTTTTTTTTTTTTCAGAAACAAAGCAAATCTCTGTGCATCATTATTTCATGAGTATGCCTCTTAAAAAATTTAATAGGTTTATAGAATACTCTACAACTGATTGAAAGAGTCATTTCACAACTTTGTGTACCAAAAGCAAAGGTCTAAAGACAGAACTATGAGACCAATTCCACAAAACAAGTCGTTTAGTCAATGGAATCATCACAAATGAAATGATGCCCAAATATGATCTTCTGTGTACATGCGACAACATAATTATCAGACAAACCAGTGTGGTCTGGTGGTTAAGGTGCTGGTTTAGAGACCAGAAGACTAGGAGTTCTAGTCCCGCTTTAGGCATGAAAACCAGCTGGGAGCTTTGGGGCTGGTCACTTTCTCTTAGCTCACCTCACAGAGCTGTTGTTGTGGGGGGAATAGGAGGAGGAAGGAGTATAGTGTATGTGCTGCCTAGAGTTACTTATAAAGTGTTGGATAAAAGTCCAAAAAAACCAAATAAATAAATGTTGCAATTACATACTTATGGCGAGCTTCAGCTACAAGTACTAAGTCAGTGTGTTTGTGTAATGTCATCATATGTGTTTCCTCTTTACCCTTCTGTAGATGTCCATGCATTTAGTGGTTAACGCTTCAGTGTGAGAATAATGGAAGCCAAAAGAAGGGCCTTCTCCGTGGTGGCCCTCCCTCTCTGGAACATCATTTCCCCAGAGATTAGAATGGCCCCCACTCTTAACGCTCTTCTGGAAGGCACTGAAGACTCGGTTCTGCCAGTGAGCCTGGGGAACCCAGAGAGGGATCGAGGCCCTTAAACAGCTTGTGCGATCTGCTGTCCCCGGAGAGGGGGTGGGTGGGAGGTGGGGGTTGATTTTGCTATATTGTACTATATTAATTTATTTGATTCTTTTTGTTAGTTTTTATTGTTTTAAATGTGGTTTTATATTCTGTAAGCCGCCTTGAGTCACCATGGGCAAATAGGCGGCAAAATCAAATAAATAAATAATCAAATAAATAAATAATCAAATAAATAAATAANATGTCTCTCTTAATAAATTGGAACTTTGAGGAAAGCTCTGCCTTGGACTCTGATTTAATTCTGGATGATATTTGGAATGCTGACATACAGTAGACATGAATAACTATAAAGACCCATTATTTAAGAGAAACACAATCAGCAGTGTGGATGAATAAGTAAGTAGCCTAAATTTTCAAACAATTTTTTTTGGCCTTCAGCATTTTCCTCCATGCTATTGAAGAAGACATATTGTATTTTTTAAAATGTGAAGCCTATCAAAACCTGACTACAGTTTTCCCATAGAGGATATGCCATCATTGCTCATTAGCTTTCAAATTATAGCAGCCTCATTCTACGTGTTCTACAGAAGCTACGAGCTGCTCACTCCTGCTCCAGACTCAAGCATGTACTTTTCAACAAGCTCATAATAAAAGCAGAAAGATTAGGCCAGTTGTACATCTAGTCTAGCATTCTATTTCACACATATACATCTTCCAACATCGGGAAAAATGGACAATCGGCAGCACAGATCTTCCTAATCCTCATTGGTGGCCTTTACCACTTCTAATGGCTAAGGCCCACATTTTAACTATGAATTAAGTAAATTCATAGTAAACTCACACACTGCATGTGTGTGTACACTTTGAAGAAATCTTCACTTCCGGGTTTCCTTGGAGGAGTAACACAGCTGATTTGCACAGCAATCTGGTCTGCTGCACGAATCGGATGAGAAGATAAAGGTAAGAAAATAGTGCCGGCAAGCAGGTGGGCCCATCTGATTTTCTGGGCAAACTGGTTCGCTCCCAGTGGATCGAGCTACTGGTTGGCCCGAATAGGTCCGAACTGGTTGAATCCACCCCCTGGTTTTATTTAATGTTGTAAACTGCCCAGAATTACATTGCATCGAGATGGGTGGCAAACAAATTTAATAATAAATAAAATTTAAAAATATCTGGGTTTGTGGGCACAGCTGTTCTTCTACCTGCTGCTAAAACAAGCTAACATTTCAGACTGTACATACCTTTTGTTTCTCAGAATGGTTGGCCTGCTTAGCAGCCTCTGCCACCAGCTGGTCATACTGTTTACGTCCTTTATATTCTCGTACCCGCTTTTCATGTACCCAAGCCCTTTCCGGTTGGTTGCTAAAGAATTGAACATGATATTCTCGTGCACCTGGGAAGAAAAGGAAAAAAAGAAAAAGAAAGAAAACATTTGGCTAAGAAATTCTACCACACAATTTTTTTCATTCGGAGAAGTATACTCTCACACCTGCGTGAAGTACACAGGCAAACTGAAAAAAAAAATCCACTTTTAACAAAATAAAAAAAATGCAAAAACATTAACTTTCATTTCAACAGTGATCTTTAAAATTTCATCAGGCGAAAGTATGCAGATGGAGGCTGGTGTATACATATGAAAAAAGAATGTAAGGAATCCCAAATGCTATTGTTTTAGACTGTCTACATCATGAGCCACGGTGGCGCAGTGGTTAGAGTGCAGTACTGCAGGCTACTTCTGCTTACTGCCGGCTGCCTGCAATTCGGCAGTTCAAATCTTACCAGGCTCAAGGTCGACTCAGCCTTCCATCCTTCCGAGGTGGTTAAAATGAGGACTCAGATTGTTGGGGGCAGGAGGCTGACTCTGTAAACCGCTTAGAAAGGGCTATAAAGCACTGTGAAGCGGTATATAAGTCTAATGCTAAGTAAGTCATTGGAGTCATAGGTCAAGTTGGATCCAATCTTATGACCATTATTTTTATGACAATTGCTAAGTAAATCCCCATGGTTTAAGTGCAAACCCATTGTTCTGAATGGGTGCTTTTGCCAGAAGCTCGAAAAAAAGATCAAAAGCTACAATCATGTGGTATACCACATGTGCAGTGGTTAGAATGCAGTACTGCAGGCAAATTCTGCCCACAGTCCAGAGTTCAATAGTGACTCAAGGTCGACTCAGCCTTCCATCCTTCTGAGGTGGGTAAAATGGGGACCCAGATTGTTGGGAAAAAGAGGCTGACTTTGTAAACTGCTTAGAGAGGGCTGTAAAGCACTGTGAAGCAGTATATAAGTCTAAGTTCTATGGCTATCCCTTGATTTTAATGTAATCAGATTATTGATGTAATCTGCTCATTTTGCATTATGAGATAGTAATAGGATAGTTCATCGGGTTAGCTATCCAGAAAGTTTCTGAAATAATAGCTCAGGCATTTTTATTTACTGACCTCTTGTGTTAATTTTAGTATGAACTTCGAGTTGAGGATCTCTTGAAACCATACAGGGCCACCACGGATACGTCCCCACTTTGGACCAGACAAGATCTCCCACCTCAAACTTGCAATCGCTTGCCTCTTGAATGGAAAGGGAAGCAGCAACCTGTTGTGCCTATATGAGAATCACACACACACACAAATACATCACATGAAAGTGAAAAGGTGTTATTACAAATCAGATATTCTGATGCAGAGCATAATGTGGCACAGGTTATTGAATGTATGAATGAATGCATAGATGAATTAGTCCATATCCTGCACATGGCATATTATATAAAAATAGATGAAGTTTTTGTTTCCTGTAATTTTTTGCTTGTCCTCCATCTGCCAAGGCAGCTAGGATGCTTCTTACAAGAGTCTCTTCCTAAATATTTTGATCCAACAGTCTCCCAATAATTCTGATAATAAAATCCTATAGAATATAATAGAAATTGGAACAGAATATAGAATAGAGCATAATATAGAATATAGAATAGAATAGAATAGAATGTAGAATAGAATAAACAGAGTTGGAAGGGACTTTGGAGGTCTACCCTCTGCTTAGGCAGGAAACCCTACACCACTTCTGACAAATGGTTATACAACATCTTCTTTAAAATTTCCAGTGTTGGGGCATTTACAACATCTGGAGGCAAGTTGTTCCACCGATTAATTGTTCTAACTATCAGGAAAAAATTTCCTTAGTTCTAGGTTGCTTCTTTCCTTGATTGGTTTCCGTCCATTGCTTCTTGTCCTGCCCTCAGGTGCTTTGGAGAGTAGCTTGACTCCCTCTTCTTTGTGGCCATCCCTGATATATTGGAAGACTGCTATCATGGCTTGAGGCATACTTGTTTAATGCCATGTACAATTAAAAAGAGAGAGTACTAACCGGTGTTTCATCCAGTGCTGCCATTTCTTCCCTTGGTTTTTCAGACTGGATGCTAAGCCTTTCATTTGGTCTCTGTAAATTAAAAAAAAAATGAAAGAAATGCAGGAAGGAATGATTACCAGAGAATAGCAAAAGGTCTAGGCAGGAACTAAATCTTTCACTTAAAAAAACAGCAATTTAAAGCAGTGCAAACAAAATCTATACCACAAAACCTCTACCACAGTACAATAATGCAGAAAACAGAAACTCATAGCACACCAATGCAGGAAAGAGAAAGAGAAACTTAATATAGAGATCCCTCCAATCCTCCCCCTTCCCACCAGAATGCCAGAGTCCTAATAGAAATATATGGGATCTGACATGCCCCCCCCCCACCCCGTAGTAAAATGGGAAGTCCACTTGAAAGAAAATGAAAAAAGGGAAGCGGAGACATAAAATCAAGTAACGTTTGTCCGGGTACACTTGATTTTATATATATATATATATAAAATCAATAAAATCAATATATATATGTGTGTGTGTGTGTGTGTGTACGCGTGTGTATGTATGTATATATATGCTGCACCAAGCCGAGCAAACAAGCCTGAAGATGACGAATGAGACTTCGTCGAAATGTCGCCAAGACACTTCCAATTTTACGTGGGAGAAAACCCGAATAAACAAAGACCTACATATATGTATGTATGTATGTATGTATGTATGTGTATGTATGTATGTATGTATGTATG